CGTCTAGGTATCCGAGTACTCTTGACCCTACCCTCTTCGAGCAATTTGCTCACATGGTCTTCGAAAGTTAGTCTCGGTCTACCACGTAATTAAGTATCTCTATTCAAAGAAATGACCACCTGGTAATTACTGATATTTAATATGGTGTTGTAATCTTTCAACGAATGTTCAGTAACACATAAAATATGTATATTGTTATTATTTAAAAATATTTCAATTTCTAATTCTTTGCCTAACATAACTTGTATATTTTTATGTTCCAGGTTTATACAGTTTTTATTATTACTATTTTGTGAAATAACACAGTTAGGTATTGGTGAGTTGTATTCTAAGCTATTTAAATTAAATTTGCTTGAGAATTTCTTAATATTAATTTATTGTCTTATTATTTCATTAAAATTACTTGGAAATTGTTCCAAATCAATTGTAAAATTATTTTGCTACTCAATAGAAGCATGTGTCGTTATGTGAGTTAAATTATAAATAATAAGATCTATCTCTTGTCAAGAGCTTCTTAGTTAAATTATTGATATCAATCAAAAGAAACTTATCATTATAATTCTTACAATTAAATGTCAAATTTAAATTATTTTTACATGTCAAATTATTAATTATTAAACTTAAATTATATCTTATTTTATTTTCCTGCGGCCACCCCTGTATGGTAGGCAATGTAAACAAGATAACTTTATGCACATTTAAGCAACTAAGATTTTTAGTATATTTTAATAATTAATTCTTATTCATATTGCCTCTTCTCCCAACAAGAATGATAAATATACTATTAGGGCAAAATTTATTAGCTACAATTTTATTCATAATATCACTGCTATTTTTCTAAATTAAAAGGCTAATATATTTTTTCATGAAAATTAAAACTCTTAAAATGAAGAAAAATATCCTAAGTTTAGTCAGATGCGAAGTAAATAAAGCAAAAGGAAATATACAATAAGAGTCGAGTTGTTTTGTTGTTTGCATCTGGGTGTTTTTTGTTAATAATCGTTATTAACGCATATTCGTACAGTTTGCAATGTATCATATTTACGGAATCGTGTACAATATTTCATAAAAATAAAAATAAACAATTTTATAAACAGTATTTCTGCTTTATTCCAATTTCTAACGATTTTAATATAATAAAATGGATGAAAAATTACAAATATTGTTGTTTGCTTAAGTTTCTACTTTATTTTTAACAATCAAATAACATAAATATTGTAAAAAAAATAGCAAATATTGTCCAGATTTCGGAAAAATAAGAACTTTGTATGAGTTTCATAGAAAAATAATGAGTAATCATAGGTAAACGCAAGTAGGTTGAGCAAGCGCGCGATCACGCGCAACACTTGACAGCAATTTTAATTTTGACTGCTTTGACACGTCAAGCGTTATTTAACATACGACTGTATGTTATTCATATATACAATAATCTATGTTATTATTTTTTATGCTTTGTTTGCACGCGAACGCGTACAAATATGCGAACTTAATGCCATAGGTCATTCTCTTCCAGGTCGTTCAGTAATCCTAAATAAATTAAATAACTGACTTAAACTAACTAATTTATTAAGTATAATTTATCAAGAAATTAAGATTACTCAAATAAAAATTATTTAAAAATAATTAAATAAATTTGAAGTGTCTGTCTGTAATATTAAAATAGCTGCCTTATATTGAGCTGATGTAGCATGCCAAAAAGTAATGAATAAACATTTTTAAAATGTTTGTTGGTCTATCTGTTAGTCTTTATATCTCATCTTCAAAATGGCTGAACCGATTGTAATAAAACTTCAAATGCAGATAGAAAGCAATGCCAGGACTGATTTAGACTATATTTCGTATGGAACGATTGGACATTTAAAAAAAACGAGAAATTAATAAGATCTTAAATCCAAATAAGACCTCATAAAAAATGTTACCCAGGCAAAGCCGGGACGTGTCGATAGTTATTAAAAACATTCATTAAGCGGCAGTAGCCTAATGGTAGGCTGCGGACCGCAAACTCACAAGTTATGGGTTTCGAATTCGCTATGTCTACTGTCGTAAACCACTTCTAGACAAGCATTTCAAGCTTATTTGAAGAAATTAACGGGAATATTAGTAGTAGTATTTTATTTTTAATGAAAAAAGGAAACAATGGCGCTGTTGTTACATTGGGCTAGTAGATTTTCTATAAAAGACGAGTGAAAGCACTTTCACGTGTAACGATCTAAGGTCTACAGCCCTCGACAAGAATTAATTAAACAATTTCCTAGACTTTTCCCGTCGATTCTATCTTCGTTTTAATTAAATTTCCGAGCTATTGGTCGCACCGATTATCGGTTTGTTTTGAAATACCAATGAACAATTTCCAACGGAATGCCTTAAAGTTTTCGATACAATGAAGTATTGATTCCCAACAAAGAGGGGAAATGGAGTACCAGAAATACTTTAGAAAACGTTTTATAGAGAACAGCGTGTAGCGAACAAAAGTATCGATTGATGCTAACTACAAGTTTTATTCTGTTTTTAAGTATTTCAATTGTAGTAGGTGAGATATTTGGATATAAATATGTGACATTCTTTAGGTTGAGGGCCTGGTGATCTGCAAATAACACACATTACCCTAGTATGGACACCAGTATTTCACAAATGTCGCATATTTTGTACTACCGTATTATTTAAGTAGTAATGTGAAAAATCGTTCGGCAGATTTCTAGACATTTTCTCGTCAGACATATCTTAAAACCTCAAAACTAGATTGTACAACCAGTGCGTGTTCCCAGTGATGGCCTATGGATCCGAGATGTAGTCCTACCCTTTTTTTTAATAGGATCGAGTGACAAACGAGCACACATTTATCCGCCAGTCGTTTGCGAATCAAAATGCAGATGCGTTGTCACTCATGAGGAGCAAGATGGAATGCCTCTTTTCCAGTAAAAACGGTCTCCGGTTCTCTACACTCACCATACGAAACACAGCAGTGTTAAGCTGCTATTTTACGCTGGTATTCTGTGAGAGCGAGGTCCTTCCCCGGTCGAGCCGACCCATTCGTGCTACAACTATACTACTAATATAGCTACAGCATGGCTCTATCACGTATAAAAATGGTTACACTTTCACACGTTACACTGCTGGCCGTATCAGGAAGCTCAAAGTCACTCAGCGAGCTATGGAGAGGGCTATGCTCGGCGTTTCTCTGTGTAATAGAGATAAAATTGAGGATATCCACAGTAGAACCAGAGTGACCGACATAGCTCAAAGAATTAGTATGCTGAAGTGGCAATGGGTCGATCATATAGCTCGAAGAACCGACAACCGATGGGGATAAAATGTTTCTCGAGTAGCGGCCTCGTACCGGCGGACGAAATGTAGGGCGTCCCCCCACTAGATGGAGTGACAACCTGGTAAGACATGCAGGAAGTGAATGGATGAGTGAATGGAATTTATTTTACTAAATAATAAATAAATGCCTGTGTATTTAAAAATAAGTTGAAATTATATTTAGAAGGCAAAGCATACTATAGCATATAAGAATTTTCGAATAATGAAATTTAAATTTTATGTAACAAGCTATTCTATTATTGACATTGTATAAAGCAGATAAAATATAATGCAAGTATGCAAAGAAAAGCAAGAACTAATTAATAAACTTAAAATATATTCAATTGAGGTGGAAAATATGAATCACTGTTATGAGACTGATATAGAGTGTCTAAATTCAACAATTTTATCACTTAAAAGCTCTCTAGAAATTGTATCAAATAAATATGCATCGGCTCAAGATGAGATAAAAGAACACATATTGGCCATGAATGATCTGGTAAAATCATGTAAATATAATGAGGAGCGCTTTGACTCCTTAATAAAAAATCAGAGTGAGTATCAGCGCTCCATACCAGGTTCATCGGGGACAATATGTGTAAATAACAAAGTTAACAGTAAGACCTCATTATTTTCACCTACACTCTATGACAGTGCCATGACAAAGGATATAAACTTAAAAAGCAATGTAAATATTAAAAAAAAAATAAAGTTATTATGTATTGTGATGACATAGGCAAAAATTTGGGCATGATGTTAAATAACTGTTTAAAAGGACATATGATCACTAATTATTGCATGCCTGGAGCATCCTTTAGTCATATAATGAATAAAGTTTTAGCTAGTAAATTTTGTCCTAATAGCACATTAATAATTCTTGTTGGGAGAAGAGGCAATGTAAACAAAAATCAATTATCAAAATATATTGATAATCTAAATACTTTAAATGTACATAAAATTATCTTGTTTACATTGCCTTACATACAGGGTTGGCCGCAGGAATATAAAATAAGATATGATTTAAATTTATTAATGAATAACTTTTCATGTAATAATAATTTAAACTTGACATTTAATTGTTACAATTATAATGATAGAATTAATTTAATAGATATAAATAATTTAATTAAGAAATTTTTGACTAGAGATAGGTATTACCTATCAAAATATAATTTAAGACAGATAGCAAATGTGCTATCTTATTATTTATATATTAACTCAGCCAAGGACTTGGCTACACAGACATCTGCTTCTTTTGAGCAGTGTAATGACTTAATATGCAATTTGGAATCAGTTCCAAGTAATTTAAATTAGAAAATGAGACAATAGAGGTAATCTCTAGCAGTTATAATAACTTAAATAATTTAGAATGTGGCTTACAAATCTTTAATTGTATGACTCCACAGAAAGATAATGAAAATTGTTTACACCTGGTGCATCAAAATATACAAGGCATGATAGGCAAAGAGCTAGAAATTGAGTTGTTCTTAAATAGCAACAATATTCATATCTTATGTATTACTGAACATTGGTTAAAAGCTTATAATTTAATGTTTAACTTCAGTAATCACCAGGTGGTCAGTTCTTTCAATAGAGATATGGTTTTAAGAGGTGGCTCCTTAATATTAGCTAGTAAATTATTATCATGTAAAGAACGTAAAGACATTGTGAGCCTCTCTGTTGAGCGAACTGTAGAAATGGCATGTGTTGAGTTTGAGCACCTCATTGTTGTGAGCATCTACAGACCCCCATGTTGTACATATGATACTTTTGAAAACATTATGGAGAAAGTTTTTGCTAAGCTTAATAAACAGAATAAATCTGTTGTAATATGTGGAGACTTTAATATCAATCTCCTAGAAGCTTCCTCCATCAATATTAAATTTAGATCATTGTTTAAATCATATGGTCTTTTTAATTTATTTATAGAGCCAACGCGTATTTCTCAATCTAGTTCAACATGTATAGATAACATTTTTACAAATGTGAAGCCGTTGCATAAATGTATAATTCAAAAATTAAGTTCTGATCACTGTGGACAAGTAGTTTCGTTACCTTATGTTCACAAAAAGCAAGTAGATGAGAAAGTTGTGTCTGTTCCAGTAAATGCACGTCGCTTGGAGAAATTTAGAAGTAACATAGTGAAAAAACTTCCATCACTTTCATACCAAAATGATCCTAATTTTTTGTATGGAACATTATTTAAGCTTATTTGCAATGAATTTAATAATACTTTTACTTCTAAAACATTCTCCTTGAACAGTCGGAAGTCATTCAATGAATGGGCGACAGTAGGTGTCCATAAGAGCCGGCATAGGTTATATGATCTTTACCATGAAAGGTCATATAATCATAGCGTCGAATTTAGGGAATATGTAAAAAAAATATTCAAAAATATTTAAAAGAGTGTGCTCCATAGCCAAGTTTTTGCATTTGAGTAACAAAATTAAGACGGCTTCCAATAAAATTAAAATGACATGGAGTGTAATTAATAGCGAAACTGGTAAGATTAACTCTCGCAATTCAAATTACCAGTTAAGTGTTAACAACAAATTAACTGTATCAGATCAGGACGTAGCAATTGTTTTTGAGAAATATTTTACTGATATTCCGATCTTGACCACTAAGTCACTGAATTCTTCTCCTGCCGTCGCCGAATCATTACTTAAACATAATGTAAATGTGTGTACAAAGAATTTTACATTTCATAAAGTGTCATCAAAAGATATTGTAAAATATTTTAAAACTATTGATGTTAACAAAACTGCGGATCTGTGGGGGATTTCCGTTAAAGTTATTGCGTCTATAATAGATACAATCGCGCCTCATTTAGCTATTATTTTTAATACTAGTATCGAATCTGGTGTGTTTCCTGATTTAATGAAGCATAGTAAAGTAATACCTTTATTTAAATCTGGTAGCACATTAGACCCCGCCAATTTTAGACCTATTTCTGTACTACCAACACTTAGTAAGATTTTTGAAAAATTGTTCTTGATCAAATGTTAAATTTAATTTAATATAAATAACTTACTTCATAAAAATCAATTTGGTTTCACAAGGGGTCGCTCGATAACTGATGCCGGTGTTGAGCTGATTAAATATATCTTTAATGCATGGGAGAATTCACAGGATGCTTTGGGTATATTTTGTGACCTATCCAAGGCCTTCGATTGTGTTCACCATGAAACATTAATCAGGAAACTTCAACACTACGGTATAAGAAGTGATGCCCTTAAATTAATTATTTCATATTTAAGTAAGAGAACGCAAAAAGTTGTCATTAACAATATGAGCTCTTCCGGATCGATGGTACAAATGGGCGTGCCTCAAGGCTTAATTCTCGGCCCCTTTCTGTTTCTTGTATACATTAATGACTTACCTTACATAGTAGGGGATAACCATGATATAGTATTATTTGCAGATGACACTTCTTTAATTTTCAAATTAAGTCGACAGTTACTAAAATATGACGAAGTAAATAATGCTATATCTAAATTAGTAAATTGGTTCGATGTTAATAATTTGCATTTAAATGGCACTAAAACAAAATGTTTGAAATTTGTGACTCCAAATGTCAAACAATTAAATACTAATGTAATTTTAAATGGGGAGAAACTGAGTCTTGTAGATACCACCATTTTTATTGGAATCACACTAGACGCGAAGCTTCAATGGAGCCCCCATATATCAAAACTAGCAAGCAGACTTAGTTCTGTAGCATATGCTGTAAAAAAGATTAGAAGTCTAACCAGTGTTGAAACAGCTAGACTAGTTTACTTCAGCTACTTCCATAGCATAATGTCGTATGGTATTTTGCTATGGTGACACGCAGCTGACATTGAAATTATATTTGTTTTGCAGAAGAGGGCCATAAGAGCAATTTATGATTTAAAGCCTAAAGAGTCGCTGCGACAAAAATTTAAGGAAATTAATATATTAACTTTGGCCTCTCAATACATTTATGAAAATGTAATGTACGTACACAAAAATAAAAGTAGTTTTACAAAAATAAGTGATATTCATTCTGTAAATACTAGGAACAGACAAAAGTTAGTAGTACCAGTTACTCGACTCCATCGAGTCAGTAATTCATTCTTGGGGCGATGTATACGCTCTTACAACAAAATTCCAGAAAATATACAAAGTTTGACCTGTTCAAAGTTCAAAAACTTTATTAAACTAAGTTTGTATAAAAAGGGTTATTATAATATTAAATAATTTATGGATGATAATAACCCCTGGAAATGAGGTGATCGCTACCAAGCTATTTCTAATTTGTTGTGTTGTTAATTTGTGTAACATCATGATTGTAAGCTGTTATTTAAAAAAAGTCCCGCTGGGTTTCTTGCTGGTTCTTCCCAGGACAGAGGTTTTTTCCGAACCAGTGGTAATCAAACAAAAGAGTGACTTTCAATAAGTATTATTTATAATCTATATTGAATAAAAAAGTTTCTGTTTCTGTTTCTGTTTCAATGTACCTTCATAGAAAATAATGTTACCAGACAATTAATTTTTATTTATTACTTAGATTTAAATTTACTGATAAAATTGTTAGAATTAGTTTAATAATTATTTAATTCGATAATGTGTTAATAATTATTTCATTTTCAATTATTGTAAACTATTTATAATATTTTCATTGAATTATATATTTGCACGCCACAAAGGCCAAACATGACTGATCCCTTTAACGTATCTGAACAACCTGCACGCTTTGTATGTATACTCATGTTTCCACAAATAAATATCTTGTATCTTGTGGTAGAGCCATTGTTCAGCTACTTTATTAGTAGTATAGTTGTATCACGAATGGAGCAGTTCGACCGGGTAAGGACAGAACATCTCACAGAATATCAGCGTAAAATAGTAGCTTTTCATATGGTGAGTGTAGAGAACCGAAGACCCCTTTTACTGGAAGCCAGGCATTCTATCTTAGTCCACACGAGTGGCAACGCATCTGCATTTGGGTTCATAGTTGAGGATGGATGTAGATGACTACGGGCCACAGCATCCACTTATCATCAGATCGACTGTGTGCTTTATGTGACTGTGTGATGTGCTGTGTGGTTTTGCACCCATATCCTATAGAAAAACTTTGTGTGTAGTTCACACGCGGTGCAAGTCAACCTTTAGAAAACTAACCTTCGAATGAGATGAATGCAGAGTATCAGGGTCAGGATAATTGTAATAAACACTGTAAACCGCATACTATCTCATTGTCTCGCCGGCTAAATCCTATAGATATATACGTTAGTCTATTTTTAGTGTAGGTTTTTTGTTTCATTTTACACATTTCAAAAATTTTCGCAGTATAATAGAACGCAATATTATGCAATAATTACATAAAAACAAAATGAAATTCAAAAAAATATTCCACAACTTATTACGCTTTAATAGCATTTACTAATATTTGTGGACAGTACGTACGATAAAACAGCAGAAATTAAACCTTTTTGTTTTGCGTTCCTCTAAATTTTTCCATGAGTATATAACATAATATATACTTATATACATACGCACATACATAAATATTATGTAAATATACAAACTATAACCTTAATCAATTACATATTATATTGAATAATATAATATCTTCTTCGTATAGGAGAGATTTATTACAGCCTATGAAAAGTCCACGGCTGAACATAGATTGTCTCATCAAAAAGAGATTTGCTTTAGCTGCCAAGCTTGTTAGATGCATTGACTACCGCATGTTGCTGCCAATCTTGCTTTTAATTTGCTCTGTCGCCCCTTATTACGACCACGGGATAGTGTTATGAGGTAGTGGATTATTTAATGCCGCCACTGTAAGGCATTATATCAATAAATGATGCCTTATGATTGTTAAATATATTATGTATTTCTGTTATCTAAATTCATAAGAAATTAGATAGGAATATATAGTAAAAGTTCTGCGCTTACCATCCCGAAAAATCTTGGGATAGGCCTATGTTTAGAAGTAAGCTTATATTTTGACGTGGTAGAGCCATGCTGCAGCTATATTATGGTTGTAGCACGAACGGGTCGGCTCGACCGGGGGAAGAACCACGCTCTCACAGAAAACCAGCATGAAACAGCGGCTTAACGCTGCTGTGTTTCGTTTGGTAAGTGTAGAGAACCGGAGACCCTTTTTACTGGAAACGAGGCATTCCATATTAGTCCTCACGGGTGACAACGCATTTGCATTTTGATTCTTAATCGAAGATAGATGTAGATGTCTATGGCCCACAGCAACCACTTACCATCAGGTGGACTGTGTGCTCGTTTGTCACCCTTATCCTATAAAAAAAATTGAAGAATGATGTTTTGTAGCATTTATTGGGAGTGGTCTTTGTCCAGCAATGGACGTGTGAGAGGCTGTAATGATAATGATGACACAATTATAACATATAAAACAATACCTACTATTTGAACCATTTATTCACAATAGTAGCACTTGCGCAATAGAAATCACTTTGGGAAAATGCAATTGAAAATGCATTAATTTTATGTGCGGACAGTGTAAATAATTTACTTCAGCATCACCCCAACAGTACAGCTTTGGTTTAAATCAAGTTAATGGGTCATTGATCACGGCTATTAACTGTTTGCTTGGAATTCCTTTATTTCAAGGAATTTCTTAAAGTTCTGTTGTGTTTTAGTGATCTCGCAAAGAAATAAAAGAAATTTAAAAATTAGACTAAACTGCAATCAAAATAATTTTAAATAAGAAGTTTCCGTTTTTTTGATGAAACGCAGATAAAAGTTAACCAATTTACAAAGTTAAATCTTCTAAAGGGCCAGCTTGAGAGTAAGTTAGATCCTTTTGGGAGGGAAGTAACGTTAAGTAGCGGCGGTGTACGTAAGAATATCCACTACCCCGTCCGTAAGATAGTTTGGCGGGTTAGCATCGGCAGTTTCTTTATTATAAATCTGATTTATTGTGAATTTTTCAAATTTTAATATAAATACATACCAAAATACCATATAGGCATATTTTTTTATAGGATAGGGTGACAAACGAGCACACAGTCCACCTGATGGTAAGTGGTTGCTGTGGCCCATAGACATCTACATCTATCCTCAATAAAGACTCAAGATGCAGATGCGTTGTCAGCCGTGAGGACTAAGATGGAATGCCTCTTTGCCAGTAAAAGGGGTCTCCGGTACTCTACACTCACCATACGAAACACAGCAGCGTTAAGCTGCTATTTTACGCTGGTTTTCTGTGAGAGCGTGGTGCTTCCACACTAGAATTGTCTCCTGTATCGTGGGGGAGGTTACATACATGAATTTTCCAGACCCAAAACAATTACTTGTAGGTCATTCCAATTCATGTTCCGTGCAGGATTCGAACCCGCGGCCCTTAGCGCGGCACCTCATTGTTAATCCACTGCGCTACAGAGCCGTCAAATTAAAT